GAAAAGGAAAGGGCCTGAGGCTGTTAGGAATGGTGGGAGTTGGAGTCCAAAACACCTGGAGGGCCCAAGTTGTCCCATGCCTGGTCTATAGCCTCATCTATACAGATACATGATCTCTTTTGGTTAGATAAAAATCCTTGGTGACATTTTTGAAGGATTGGGAACCTCTGGCTGCAGAAGAATCCTTAGTAGGTTTGGTTGAGGAGATGTGTATGAATATGCTTTAGTTTGGAGAAGTCAGATTCTAGACCCGTGTTTCTCAAGTTTCCTAATGCTGCGATCCCTTAATACAATTCCTCATGTTGTGGTGACTCCCAAACATAACATAATTTTCATTGCTACTTCATAACTGTAATTTTGCTACTGTTATGAATCGTCATGAAAATATCTGATAGGCAGGATGCATTTTCATTCACTGGACCAAATTTGGCACAAATACCCAATATGCCCAAATTTGAATATTGGTGAGGTTGGGTATATTGGGTATTTGTGCCAAATTTGGTCCATTGATTTATTTATTTGGGAGGTGAAGTTGCAAGGATTTATAGTTCACCTACAATCAAAGAGCATTCTAAACTCCACCAGCTATGTAATTCAACCAAACTTGGCACACAGGACTCTCATAACCAACTGAAAATACTGGAAGGGTTTGGTGGACATTGACCTTGAGTTTTGGAGTCATAGTTAACCTACATCCAGAGAGCACTGTGGACTCAAACAATGATAGATCTGGACCAAACTTGGCATGGATACTCAATATGCTCAGATGGGAAGACTGGTGGATTTTGGGGGAAATAGACCTTGATATTTGGGAGTTGTAGTTTCTGGGATTCATAGTTCACCTACAATCAAAGAGCATTCTGAACTCAGCCCACAATGGATCTGCATTGAACTTGGCACACTATGTACTTGGTCAACATTGAATTGGTGGGGTTGTGTGGGGGGGATCTGTTTTTTAATTCTGGGAGTTGTAGTTCACTAACACCAAAAAAGAAGAGAAGGACAGGCAGGGAGATCTTCAGCCTTCTCTCCCAAAGGGGTTCCTAAGACCACCAGACATATGTGTTTTCTGGTGGTCTTTGGTGACCCCTCTGTAAGGGAAGGGGCCTGAGGCTGTTAGGAATGGTGGGAGTTGGGGTCCAAAACACCTGGAGGGCCCAAGTTGGCCCATGTCTGGTGCATAGCTTATTTGGGGCCATTTCCCTTCCTCTACCCCCTTTGCACCCCAAGAAACAAACCCTCCGGCTGCACACTTGACAACATCCTCAGGAGTTCTGACCCCCAGGTTGAGAATCACTATACTAGGGTCTTTAGCAGCCATGGGCAAACTTGGGCCCTCCTGGTGTTTTGGACGTCAACTCCCACTATTCCTAATCACCTCAGGCCCTTTTCTTTCCCCCCTCAGCCACTTAAACCTTAACCATGGAGGGCCCAAGTTTGCCTATGCCTGGTCTATAGCCGTGTCTGCCAAAGAGTGCTAACAGTTGAAGTGGTGTCAGACTGCATTAATTCTCCGGCACCCTTGGAGACAGATCAGGCACTGCTGTCAGGAAAGGTCCTGCTGAAACGGACACATGATCTGTTTTGATTAGAGAAACATCCTTGGTGCCAGTTTTGAATGATTGGGAACCTTTGGCCACAGAAGAATGAGAATAATATGTTCTGGGTTTACATC